ATGAGAAGTCAGATGTTAAAATTTTAACAACTGTGCCAAGATGTCACTTACATACTGTACATTTTACTTACATAAAATGTAAAATTCTGTGCTTTTCAGTATACTTACAGAATTGTGGTATACTTGAATTTATTGCCGTAATGAAATCTAGAGCACTTTCATTACCTGGAAAAAAAAGTTTGAACTTCCTGGCTATTATTCTCCAGTTTCCTTATACTTCAGCCCCAGGCAGCCACTGATCTACTTTTGGCTTCTAAATGAATTGAACATTCCTATATGAATGTCCCATGCTGAACACTGTATGCAGAGAACTTACAGCATGAGGCCTTTGCTCCTGGTTTCTTTTACTTAATGCTATCTCTGACGTTATCCATGTAAATGTATGTCTTTGTTTTCTTAATCAAATGAATGACCTAAAAAATCATTTGTAGGTAATTTCATTTTCTTGGTAACTAACATTATCTATTAGTACACATGCATGATTAATTTAATAACTAACATATTCTCTAAATTTTTCTAGAAAACTTTGAAGACTCTTCACCCTATTTGACAGAACCTCCAAAGGCAATTCACAACACATCTAAAATTGCTTCGCAGAATTCCAGATTTACTCCATTTCCTCCACTGAATAAAATGCCATCAGGTAATTTTTAACATTTTTGTTTGCAATATGATTTTTTGAAGCTTTCATTACATAGAAATAATGAAACTTCAGTCATACAACACTTTATCAGTGGATGGTAATTTTATTTTTTTGATGGGGTTTGTTTGTTTGTTTGTTTGTTTGTTTGTTTGTTTTTGGGGGGTTGTACCAGGAACTGAACTTGCACTTGCCAGACAGGTGCTGTGCCACTGAGCTGTTTTCACAGCACAATGCTAATTTTACCACTGCAGCTCTTACTACTATGCGACATAGCTGTTGGTATAAGTTGGTTTCCTGGAGATACCGATACCTACATGGCCTGGGGATGACAATACAGAAGCCCATTCTGGAGAACTGGGTACTGGGCCAAATATGCTGCAACCTCCCTCCCATGTCAAGTATAAACAGGTAGCTGGAGTCTGGGATAGAGGCAAAGGCCTGGAGGTAGCCATGCCTGGAGGACACCACTGAAAAGCAGACACTAACTAAAGAGGTCTCCAGGCTGTCAATAAAACTTTCCACTGCTGTCAACACACAGCTTCAACACAAAACAAACAAAACAGCAGGGTGGAGAGAGGTGTGAGGTGGCCTGAATGGCAATAGAAGTACTTGGGCCTGCTTCTGAAACAAGGAGCTAAATGCAGGCAAAGAGAACAGAATCCATTTTCTGCCCCAGTGAGCTGAAAGAAAATATTGTCAGAAAAGTTTAGAGAATTTCAGAGGATAGTTTTAAGCAATAAGAAAAAGCCTCAGCTTCACTAGTTACCAAAAGAGTTGACAAGCTAGACTAGGACTGTGAAAGCTTTCACCGGTTGAACTGTAGATGATGATGTTAATCAGGGGTTCACTACTGCTTACTATCACCTACAATACTGCTTTCCTTTGATCTTGCCCTTATTTTTATCTACAACTTGGGCTTCATTTTCTAAGCAAGAGCCTTTCTCTGTGGAAGTATTATTCATAACAATATTTCCTTAAACACAGCAAAGGGGAGGAATAAGAGAACTAAAATATGACCAGAATAGCCTACCTATCTTTATAGAAATAATAATAGTTTGTGTGTGTGT